GGCTCACTGCCCCCCAGGGCCCACGCCCCCCCAGCCGAGAGAGAGAGAGAGAGAGAGAGAGAGAGAGAGAGAGAGAGAGATCAGACTCACCTCCTGCCCCAGCGCCCTGGGCGGTGAGCGTGAGCAGCAGGGCCCAGAGGAGCATCGTGGGACAGGGCGGAGGTGCTGAGTCTGTGTGGCCAGCAGGGCCTGAGGCCTCAGGGTCCTGGGTCCTCCCTGGTTCTCCCTGGATGAAGGGAAGCCGTGGGTCAGAGGGCTGCATGGGCCAGGGCAGGCGGGGCCAGGCTCCCGACCATGGTGCCAGCACCTACCCCCTGCCCCAAGCAGCCGACCCCTCCCCGGCGCCTCTCCAGGTGCACACGCCGCGGCCGCTGTCAGACAGAGGGCAGGTGGGGCAGGGAGCACGTCCCTGGGAGTGGGACCTGCTTCTTCCTGGGGTTCACCCTTCCGGTTCCAGAATAAGACTCGCACAAGTGCCTGGTGGGGTGTGTGTGGGGGGCAGGCGAGGGGGACGCTCAGCCTCAGGGGCCCTGGCCTGGCACCACCCTGCCCACTCCCGCGTCCAGCACCGGGCAGGGACATTCGGCTCCCTCACTCGCCGGAATGGACCGGAAGCTTCTTCCGAGGAACTCGCAGCTGCGACAGCGCCGACCCCACTTCCTGTGGAGCCAGGGACCATGTGGCCACGGGGAAGGTGATGTCCACCCCAAGTGCTAAGAACTATTTAAAAGCGCCTGAGTCGACCTGGGAACCAGGAGGTCACGGCTCATCTCCCGGTCAGGGCACACGCCCAGGTGGGGGGCTCAGTCCCCAGTGGGGGGCGTGCAGGAGGCAGCCGATCAATGATTCTCTTTCGTCATTGATGTTTCTATCTCTCCCTTCCTCTAGGGAAGGTGACGTCCACCCCAAGTGCTAAGAACTATTTAAAAGCGCTTGAGTCCGGTGGCAGGGTCTGGGGCCGGGGCGGCAGGCACCATGTCCGGCCGCGAAGGTGGCAAGAAGAAGGCCCTGAAGCAGCCCAAGAAGCAGGCCAAGGAGATGGACGAGGAGGACAAGGCGTTCAAGCAGAGGCAGAAGGAGGAGCAGAAGAAGCTTGAGGAGCTGAAAGCGAAGGCGGCGGGGAAGGGCCCCCTGGCCACAGGTGGAATTAAGAAATCTGGCAAAAAGTGAACTGTTCCTTGTGCCTGGGGCAATGGTGATCCTTAGTTCCATTCCTGTTTTAACATCAGGATTCTCTGTCATCACATCTCTTGCTACCTATAGCTAAAATGAAGTGTTGTCTTGGAGGCTGTGGTACATTTAAGAATAAACTTTTGTAAAAAAAAAATTAATAATAATGATAATCATGCATTGGCTCATCTCTTCAGTTCTTCTCATTCTGCCATTTCAACAGTAGCTGTGTGGTCAGAGGAAACCCAGCTCAGTCCTGTCGAAGTGTGTTCTTCAAGATATTCTGTACCACCTGGAATTAAACCAACTCGCTTGAAATGGCTGTTGTTTCTGTGTGGTTGTACATACAAAAGAATACATGACATTAGTGGGAGAGTTTGTATTTTGGAAAGAAAAGCCACTCTTCTGTGTTAGGACATCCACGTTGCCTTTTAATGGGGATGCCTGTACGTGTAGAGACTGCTACGTGCAGGCTGGGCCTGTGCCTGCACACAGTTCCTGTTGTCAAGGAACTTCTCCAGGAGGGAGCAGGACAAACACATGATATGGTGCAGGAGGCAGCCGATCAATGATTCTCTTTCGTCATTGATGTTTCTATCTCTCCCTTCCTCTCTGAAATCAATAAAAATATGTTTAAAAAATAAAGTGCTTTAAAATTGCTTGTCAGGCCATTTGTTGACCCTTTGATTAAAAAGAAGACTTTTGGGGGGCAGGCAGGGCAGAGGGGGTCGCTGGGGAAATAAAAGGGACATTTGTAATTCTTTCAATAATAAAGATAAGCCCTAACCGGTTTGGCTCAGTGGGTAGAGCGTCAGCCTGCGAACTCAAGGGTCCCAGGTTCGATTCCCCTGAGCCCCCCTCCCTGCACCCCCCCCCAAGAGCGTCTCTGTTAGCGTGTTAGCGTCTGTGTGCCACAGCACGTGAGCTGCGCACACACATTATCACGGACTAAAGTCCACCGAGGGTTCAGGGGTCAGTCTTGGGCTGTACTCTGTCCAGCACGGCGGCCTCCTGCGCGGGTTCTCTGCCCTGACCCCTCCCCAGCCCCCAGCGAACGCCCGTCTTTTCAGGGCCTCAGAGCTTCCCATTCCCAGAGGCTCGTAGACTCGGGCCCCTGGGTTTTGTGTGGATTGTTTCTGACTCTTCTTTAGTTATTGATGTGAGAGAGGAAGGGGGAGAGAGACACCAACCTGCTGCCCACTTGCTTCTGCGTCCCTTCTCCTTCCCTATGGGAAAGGGCAAGCGAAAGGAAAGGCCCGGGCGGGCTCCCAGAGGCAGAGCGCCCGTCGGTTGACCCTCGTATGTGCCCTGACCAGGGCTCGAACCCACAACCTTGGCAAATCTGGACGATGCGCTAACCAGCTGAGCTACCAGCCAGGGCCAGAATCACTGTTCTCACCCCGGAAAGATCTGACCGAGAAGATGGCGCCGTGAGGCCCGCGGGCCCAAAGGCCGTGCTGATCCTGGCGGTCTGCCCGCACCCCTGGCCTGAGCCCTGGCACCAGC